AGAAAACCAAGCTGACAAAGTGAATGTTGTACCTTCCCCTCTGAAGAGATATTTGCTCATGTTTAATTTTGTTTGAACTCCGTATTCTTCTCCCCCTTGCGCCTCTGGGTGTCTAGAAAACACACCCATCAGCTTGTCTGACTAGGCTGGAGCCCAGGGCTCCGAAGACGAAGCTCAACGGCAAGTTCTGGGCCAGGAGAAGGACCAGCCCCCGGGCAGGACAGCGAGCCGGGCAGCACCCACCTGTAGCCCACCTTGCGGGCATAGTGCAGGCAGTTCTCCTTCACGTGGGTCTGGAAGTAGGCGGAGCGACAGAGGACGCCACACTCTGGACAGCAGTACGGGGACTTGTGTGTGTGGATCCGCTGGTGACCCCCCCCGAATTCTGCTTCTGAATGTCCAGGAAGGTGCAGTGATTGTAGAGTATGAAGTTTCTTAGTGGTGGTGCTATAGTCCATTTCCTCTTCCCCATACTCCAGTTGCATAAACCTGTGCTTAGATTTATGAGTTTAAATCTTGTCACAGTTTTTCAAGGTACCGTTTAGGATACTCTGTTTTTAAGCTGAAGCATTAGGAGGGTGACATGAGCTGACATTTCTGGCTGTTGGCTGGATGATTTGGGGCAACTGAGAAACAGTCTTGGGTCCCGGGAGTTCTGGTGTTGGTGGCCTTGGAGCAGAAATAACTGTGCCAGCACGTGACATTCACGTGTAGGGTTCAGTGGGGATTTTTTTAATGTGAAGTATTTTCATTTCCTCGTTGCTTTCCTTCCTCCCTCCCCTACAAGTAACCCATTTATTTGCCAATAGGTCAAGGAAATTAAAAAGACTTCCTCGGGCTTGGAAGTCTCCATGGTTACTTCAGTTCCTGGTAGGAAACCCATCATGACCACGATTCCAGATGTCGACTGCCTTCTCTGGGCCATTGGGCGGGACCCAAATTCCAAGGGCCTGAATTTAAACAAACTGGTAAGCCGATTTAACCTGCCCAAAACATCCTTGAATCTCTGAGTAGCCCTTTGTTCTCCCCGACCCACTCAGACCCCCAAAATTTTGGTGGGTTCTATTGGATTTTTTTTCTCTTTGTTCCTTGCATTCAGTTTGTCTCCAAACCCCATTGCTGCTGCATTAGAGATTATCCTTTTTAGTGTCATCACCCTAGATCAGGTCCCTGCCACCTCTAATCTGGATTGTCGAGCAGCATCCTGATTGGCCTCTTTCTTCCAGATTTCCTTTTTACTGTGATACTTGTCCTTTTAAAGCCCTGTAATTATTCCTTATGGTCTGCAACGCTAATCCTGATGGCTGGATGTATAAATCGTCTGGATGTTGTGGCACTTGGGGATGGAACCAGATGTGAAGCTGATCTACCAGTGTTATAAGTAGCATTCTTATTTGCACTTTTACATTTTGAAGGAAAGTCTAGTGGAGTAGTGTGGGGTCTCAGAGTTTGATCCAATTTTGAACCTTAGTTCTGTTACTTGTCAGTTGCATGGCCTTATTAAACAAGCAGCATAATCACTCTGAAGTTTGAATTGCTTCATGTAAATATGGGAATAATAAGAGTGCTTGCCTCATGGAGTTGAAGAGAAGAATAAATGGGAAAGTGCCTGCCAAGTAATTAGCTGAGATTCCGGCTTATTGTATGAACTCAATAAATGTTAATCAGCTGCTGTTGGTGGTGGTGATGATTTTTTTGAGATGCTGTACTACTCTTTTAGTAATAACAGATATTTTACGTGTTTGCAGTTTATACATTTGATGGACCCTCTGGAGAAGTTTCTGATATTTATATTTTATCTTCTAATATTAATATCTGTTATAATATAGATTCCTTTTTCATTTCTATAAAAGGTATAAAAAAATAAAATATCCAGGGAGATGTTTTCCTTAGTTTTAATCTTATTGTTCAGTGAAATTTACTGAAACTATTTTCATATTAACAAGACTGGTCATTCAGCCTTTTACCCTTCTAGTAATGTTTGCCTTTGTACAGATATAGGCATTGTCAGGTCCAGTTTTCAACTATATTTGCTGAGTTAAAAAAAAAAAAAAGGCGAAGTCTTCAATCCCATTCAATGTTAAGATCTATATTTGTAATGCAGATGGAATGATTCCTATGTGTAGGTCTTGTCCACATGTTGCTAACCTAATTTAATATTGCCACCAGCTCTTTGAGGTGTAAGGATGAGGAAACCAGGAGCACAGAGTTAGTAAAATAATTCATGGCCGTAACTCTGTGGAGCCAGGAGAATGTCTGTGTTACCACTGTTTTCACAGTGACTAGGTTAATGCCTCATTTGTACTAGAAGTTCAAATATTTGTTCATAAATAGATGGTTATACAAGGTCTCTATAGCTAGTAAATGGCAGAGCTGAGATTTGAACTCAGTTCTATGTGGCTTCAAAGGCAATACACTCTTAACCACTGAGCTACCTACTTCCTACTTCTGTTCTATTTTTCACACGGGAGTATGTACACCTGGGGTCTAGAAAGCCACAAGATGAGCATGACACATCTTGGGAGCAAAAATTTAACTCAATATATGGGGTAGGGGATTGGTTAAAAGGAACAGTTAGAGTAGAACACAACATTTGCTTGAATTTTTAAAGATAAAATGGTATAAGCTTCAAACAGTTCTGCTTTTGATGACTGCTTCGGGCCGAGCCCCTCTAAGGTTCGAGCTAGTACACTTCAGGAGGAGTGCTGCAGGGGAGAAAGTTGGAAAGCACTGTCGTAAGTGGACTCCATGGGGAGAGCAAGTAACATGTCTGCTAGTTGAATGATTCCTTTTCATTTTACCTGGCCAAGTGAGTTGTTCATTGCAAAGTCAAAACCTGTTAAAATACCTCAAAATTAGATAAAATATTTCCTTTTTAAACTAAGCAAAAGATACGAAGCACTCTAGTTTGCAAAGATGTTTTTCACCTTGTGGTTCTCAGAGATTCAGGCTAAAGCGGTGCCTAAAATGAGGTGGATCCGAGATTTGATCTGCCATTTTTTTGTAGATAGACCAAATATTTACATGATGTGTATTCACAATTGTAGGGGATTCAGACTGACGCCAAAGGTCACATCATCGTAGATGAATTCCAGAATACTAATGTAAAAGGCATCTACGCAGTTGGGGATGTGTGTGGAAAGGCTCTTCTTACTCCAGGTAACGTTTCTTCTTTTCTCGGGTAAGGGAGGCTCTGTGTCTTGTGTAAAGCAGCTTTGCTGTTCACAGTCCAATCAGCTTAAGCAAAGCCAAAAGGATGACAAGTTATATGATCAAAATGATAAAAAAATGTATTGAAATAGATGTTGGTTGGGTGCCTGACATTTTATGAATAATACTCATTTTTGGTTTAAAAGCCCAGCCAGCATGTCTCAGTGGTTGAGCATCGACCTATGAACCAGGAAGTCATGATTCGATTCCAGGTCAGAGCACATGCCTGGGTTGTGGGCTTGATCCCCAGTGTGGGGTGTGCAGGAGGCAGCCAATCAATGATTCTCTGTCATCATTGATGTTTCTATCTCTCTCTCCCTCTCCCTTCCTCTTTGAAATCAATAAAAATATATTTAAAATAAACAAAAATGCTTAGTGAAGACTGACATTTTTATATTGATGGTAACAGTCATCCTCTGAAGAAGGCTGAAAGTGAGAATCTGGGTTGTGTGTGGTTGACTTTGGGAAGAAGTAATTTAGGGTGGCACTTATATGACTATTTAGTCTTGATACAACCAAGACTGACCCCATCCTCTGAATCTGTACTGCAACCTGCTTCCTGAGCTAACTGGCACCTTTTCAAGCTCTTTGTCCCACTTCTATCTATTAGCACCACTCCATCCGCTTTCACTCCATCCCCCTCTGGGACCTCACCAGCCATTCCAAAATGGCCCTGGGTCTTACCTCAGAATGGAAATGGTTGTCGGTTCCATGCCCAGGTTGCCCAGGCAGTTGGTCGATGTTCCACTCTGTATCCCTCTCCCTTCCTCTCTCTCTAAAGATCAATGAAAAAATAGATAGATTAGTAGATAGATAAATAAATAAATAATTTTTAAAATAGATGTTAAAATATTAGTGTGAATTGAATATGGTTATAAAGTAGAGCTGAAGATGCTCAAAACAAATATGGTTTGCTCTATAAATATTGTATCACAAAACTAATATCCTCATTAAGTAGGTGACTACCAAATGACTGGGAACCTGTAAATGTGTCTTTTTTTTTTGTCATAGTAAGCCCTTGATTTTGAATTGTTAACTAAAGCATTGATATGTCTTCATCATACTGAACTAGATAGTATAATGAGCATTGGTATAAAGCTTTGTCAGAACTAGCATGTTAAGCCAGATGAGCAAATGGTTAGAACAGCTCTGCTATGTTAGAAGGAGCAATAAACTAACCACTGATTTTAAAATACCTTTGCAGTTGCCATCGCTGCTGGCCGAAAACTTGCCCACAGACTTTTTGAATGCAAAGAAGATTCCAAATTAGACTATGACAACATCCCCACAGTGGTCTTCAGCCACCCCCCTATTGGCACAGTGGGCCTTACGGAAGGTAGGTATTTAAAAAGGAAGGTCATTTACGGTTTCCTGCCTTCCACCCTTAACTTTAAACTAGGTGTCGGTCAGCTGACTAAGTCTACTCAGCCCCCCAGCTTACAGGCCTTTTGGTTAACCTCTTGTCACAGTTCCAGTTTCCTCCCCATCTACTGCCACTTTGAGAGTACAGTTCCTTTTCCCCACACCACCCTGTCTGCCTCTTTGGTTTTTTTTATTTGAACTAATTACAAATATAAAGAAAAATGATAAAATAGTATAGAGGACTCTTTAATATACTTAACATTTTTACTTTATCAATTTCTTTCCACACACACACACACACACTTTCCCAAAAGCAGGTCATCCCCTTACAGAAGTACAGTGCAATTTTCAATAAGAACATTTAAATTCATATGATATTACCTCAGTTTTAGACCTTAGTCTGATTTAGCCAGTTATCTCAAATCATGCCATTTTTAACATTTTTTTTTTCTCTTAAGTCCAGCATTCAGTCGAGGATAACACCTGCATTTAGTTCTTGTACTTCTTTGGTCTCCTTTAACTGAGAGACAAAATTTCTGTCTTTTATCTTTCATGACATCAACATTTATTTTGTATACTGTCACTCATCGTGGTTTTGTTTGGCATTTCTTCATGATTGGATGGAGGTTATGTATTTCTTGCTCTCTTTGATGGGTCAGTGGAATTGTTTTGTTTTTGATAATGTTTTTTCCCCCTGTACATTATAGATGAGGCCATTTCTAAATACGGAAAAGAAAATGTGAAGACCTATTCAACCACCTTTACCCCAATGTATCATGCGGTTACCAAAAGGAAAACAAAGTGTGTGATGAAAATGATTTGTGCTAACAAAGAGGAGAAGGTATGGGAAATACCCAGTAAGCTAAAGAGTGACTTTAAGGTTGGCAAGGATGGGGGCATTTTGGTGGGGTGGGGAGGGAGGAGACCAAGTAATTAAGCCTTCTCTGATTCAACAGGTGTGGACCCACTTTTATCTATCTGTCTGTATATTCAGGTTCTTCATAATGTTTTATTTAGAAAGAAGGGTCCACCACCAACATTAGGGGAAAGGTTGAAAACCACAAAAGGCTCCCTGTCATGGGCCAATAGACCAGAATAAATAGGAAACTCAAATATATTGTTAAGTGTAAGAATTTAATGCAAGATAAACTTAATATAACCAATCAGTGATGTAGAGGAAGTTTAGTTAATAAAATTATCTACTTTTGGTTTAACTTTTTGAGGAACTACCAAACTCTTTTCCAAAGTGGCTGCCATTTTACATTCCCCTCAGCCATGTATGAGGGTTCCAATTCCTACACACCCTGGACAACACTTGTTATTATCATTTTTAGTATAGTCATCCTAGTGGATACAAAGTGGTATCTTATTGTGGTTTTGGTTTGAATTTGAACAGGTTGTTTTTTTAAATATATTTTTATTGATTTCAGAGATGAAGGGGAGGGGGGGAGAGAGAGAAAGACAGAGACAGAGACATGAATGATGAGAGAATCATTGATCAGCTGTTTCCCGCACACTCCCTACTGGGAATCAAGCCCGCACCTGGGCATATGCCTTGACCAGGAATCAAACCATGACTTCCTGGTTCATAGGTCAACATTCAACCACTGAGCCACGCTGGCTGGGCTGAACAGGTTTTTTTAAAACAGAATTTTTGAAGTAGGTTTTGTTTTGGTATTAGGTCAGCCTATTGGACTTTTCTACAAATTAAATTAAATATTGAAATGCAACTTAGCAATATGCTTTGGGAACATGGCTCCACAAGGGACAGTGGTCACAAAACATGGCCCCTGGTTTACAGAAGTCAAGGTCACTGCGACTGGCAATGCAGAGAATCAGACCAAAGTGAAGAAAGGAAGTGGGTTGGCAGCTGTTTCTTGACCTTGAATGTGCCTCAGTAGCTTAACCGTTTGCCTGCTGACGTATTTTTTCGGACATATGCCAAAACTGCGGCACTAATTGCGCGTGTATGAGAAAAAATGTAAAACACTTTTTATACAATAAACTCACTTGTATTGCTTTGCAACAACAAAAATTAAAAAATACCAATTGTTTACATAAATTTGTTTTAAATAAGAAGAGCGCGATAGTGCTCCTTAGCAGTCAAACGGTTAAGCTTTCCAGATGTTCAGTCAGCAGGGCCCCTCACTTATCATATCTGTTATTCATAAATTTATTCTTTTGATAGACATTACCAGACAGTCTAATATAGACTAAGAACTGGGCCCTCGCTGGTTTGGCTCAGAAGATAGAGTGTTGGCCTGCAGAAAGAAAAGTCCCAGGTTCAATTCCGGTCAAAGGCACATGCTTGGGTTGGGGGCTCGATCCCCAGTAGGTGGCGTGCAGGAGGCAGCCAATCAATGATCCTCTCTCATTGATGTAGCTATCTCTCTCTCCCTCTCTGAACTCAATAAAAATATATTTTTTTAAAAAGACTAAGAACTGAGATATGGAGAGGAATAATGTGAAGTTCCTGCCATCATCAGAAACTCTGGCCGAAACCGGTTTGGCTCAGTGGATAGCGTGTTGGCCTGAGAACTAACGGGTCCCAGGTTCGGTTCTGGTCGAGGGCATGTA